TATGCGGAGCTATTGGAGAATCTAGAAGAATACAACATACAGTGTGTAGACATCACCATCAATGGACGACCCACTCGTTCTATGATTGACTCAAGTGCAAAGGCCAACGCATGACCAAGACAATGATGTGTCGGCATTTGACATTGCATCTAATGCTTTTAAATAGAATATAGGAATAATTGTGCATTCTTAAGTTACAATAGGAGAGCTTTGACGACAAGTCTGACAAACCGTCAAACCTCTGATTGGTCATCAGGTGTATTGTCATACTTGCAGAAATTTCACAAAATCTATGAAGCTTTGTGACAAAGGAGGTAATGGACCGTCAAACCTTTGACAGGCCATCAGAGTTAATGTTAGACCTGCAGGAATTCAACAACTCTCTAAAACTATATGAAGGCCAAGGCGATGTATCGTAACTCCTATGATGGGCCATAAGACGCAGCGTCAAACGAGCCTCGAGATTATTTTTTTCTATTTTTAAAATTTCAAATTTCCTAAAAATACTATTTCTAGGGTTTTATTTTATTTTATTTTATCGAAGAGATGATATTTTCTTGAACTGAGTTTGAAGAAGAGTTTTCATCGAGTTACTGAAATCAAAGTGTTGATTGTCTTTAACTCTTGTAAGTAATTACCTATTGAATGACTGCAATAATATTTTTTGTTTCATTAATTATGAGTGGATAAATCCCACAATCAAGGGTTGTGAAATTCATGACGACTTGACCTAAAAATATGGTTTTTACATAATGAATCGCGTGTTATATTTGTATCTTATTATCTCTTTCATATTAATTGATTTCTAATGGTTGCAAACATTAGAACTTACTTTAAGTTATCTTGTTTGAGAAAAAACGTTAAAACTTGGAAAAAGAGTTATTAATAAAAATTCGAGGATTTGGACTCGTCTAATGGCTAATGTTGTAGTAAGATTAACCAAATTGGGAATCTACCTACCAAATGAAGATGAACACTTTTAGTTCAAAAGAATAAAAGTGATATACATTTAATTTGGTTGATAAAGAGTTAAGTATAGCATAAGTTGATAAACTGGATTAACTAGATTATGCAATTCATCACTATCCCAATCTATAGATTTAATAATAATAATAGGGATATAGTTGGAGAAGTGAAACCTACTAGAGGACTAAGGTAAGCTAAGGGTATACACTTTCTCCATATCTCTTCTTTCTATGTGCTAAAGGTCTTTCGAGATTCTTAAATCAAGTAAACTTATGTCGGGATATACAAGGCTTAAAGCTTAAGTAGAGGGGACCCTACGATTAATTTTTTTTTCTGTTGATGACTCTTTTATCTTTCGTAATGTTAATATTCAGAATGCTCAAATAATTTCTGAAATTTTATAAATTTATGAAAAGTGTTCGGGACAAAAGGTGAACTTCTCTAAATCTTCTATTTCTTTAATAAAAAATATTTTGATATTAAAAAAGATCGAACTCATGCAGTGTTAGAAAAATTACAAAGGAATGACTTAGGATTATATATGGGGATGCCTGCGGTAGTTGGAAGATCGAAGAAAAAAATGTTAGAGTTTATTGAAGATAGGGTGAAAATCAAAATAAAAATGTGGAAAAATAACTTCTTATGTCTGAGAGGAAAAGAGGTGGTGTTTAAATATGTTCTATATGCTATTTTATCTTATGCATTAATCATTATCTTGTTTTCAATTTCCGAATTCCTTATGTAAAGAGATTACGACTAACTTCTCTAATTTCTGGTGGGGCATGATGAAGATAAAAGGAAAATACATTTAAAAATGAGAGACTCTATGTTTAATAAAGGGGGCATAGATTTGAGAGATTTAAAGTCTTTTAATCAAGCGTTGTTGGAAAATTTTGACCCAAGAAGATTCATTACTTTTAAGAATCCTCAAGAGTAAATATTTTTCGCATACTTCTTTCCTTAAAGTTACACATGTTCATCTACTAGTACTTGAATATGGAAAAACATTATTTGGGATAGAGATCTTTTACAAAAGGGTATTAGATGGAAAGTAGGCTCTGGAGAAAGTATTAAAGTTTGAGTGGACCCGTGAATTCTAACTCTAGTGAATTTAAACCTAGTCCCGTGCATGGTCAAATAGATGTCGAGTTGAGAGTGAATGATCTTATAGAGGAAAGTACCCATACTTGAAATTGCAAGACATTCAAAATTGTTTTTGTCCAAATGACTTTCGTAGAATAGTCTCTATATCTATTTCAACCACATACTCATCAAATAAGATTATTTGGTACCACACCAAATTCGGAAAGTATGAGGTTAAATTGGGATACCACTTAGTTAGGAAAATGGTTAGATGTGAACAAATGAGTAATGAGAGAGCCCAATCTCGTAATTAGTATTTTTCAGGAATTTTGAATTTTTAATCATCTATGACTATTAAAAATAAGTATAAGCACTTTATTCGAAAATGTATTTTCAATATGTTATTGATCAACCACATTTTTTGTAGGAGAATGAGGCACATATGTGGAGTGTGTAAGGGTTGTGAACTTGAAAGTGAAACAATTGATCATATGTTTTTTAGGTGTCCTAGTGCTCAATTAGTTTAGAAAATTTGCCTCATTAATTGTTCTAGTTTAAAAAATAATATGAATCTTGTTAGGTGGTTGAATGATTTTTTACAAATGCTAAACAATATCCTGATTCTATTAAGCTTATAAATTAAGTATTTTTATTATGTGGCAAATTTAGAATGCAAGAATGTCATGCCCCGAGTCTATACACCAAACATAACCAATACTCGAGAACCATTTTTGATCCCCAAGCAAATCCTTGGCATGGCTAACTATAACTCTAAAAGATTTGCAGAAACTTAAATAGATGAGCATTTACACATTCAAGAAAAGTTCTAAAACACTATCTTGAAAATACTTAACATAATTCATAAGTTAAATCAACATCTTGAGAAAAACAATGAAAATCATCTAGTTATGTATGTCTATGAAGTCTCTAACAGTTCAAGATAGATGTTGGGACAAGATCCACAACACCTCAAATGCTACTAAAACTAAAATGAAAATGGAGTCTCCTGAAAGCAAAAGGGCCTCACCAAATACTGTGTACGAGTGTAAGGTGATCTCAATGAAGCGCCTATTGATGATCCTGAACACTTGTATATGTATCATAATATGATGCAGGTCGAATGACATCAGTACATTGAATGTACAAGCATGCAAAGAGAACTGAATACATAGATAACTAAACTGACATGACTGGAAGAATACTCACCTCAACTCAACTCAATACAAAATCAATAACAAAAGATGAAATGTTTAAAGCTTCATAATTAATAGATACTAAATCAAAGATGTATATATGAAAAATACAATAAGTACTCTTTACTCTTATTTGGGAGATTCTCTAACCGACAACCATCACTATGAGCTATGTGATGATACAATGTCTCGCCCATGCTTCTAGAATTGTCCTATACCTTGTCGGGGTATAAAACACCTCAACTAAGTGGATCCACTAAGCTATGCTCAAAATCAATAAAGAATCGTCTAAAAAGTATGATCACTTACCCATGTTGGCAACATGGTTTATGAGGAATGTGAGTTATCTGAACTCATCCCCATATCGGTGCTCAATAATAATCCCAATAAATATATATATACTCATCTTCAAATGTGTAAAACATACGCTTTCTCAATTTGAGGTAATTACTCGAAATGCCCTTTTAAAAGAGGTAACTGCTCTAAATTAATCTCTCAACTCATTACTCTTTTTAGAAATCAAAGTTTCTCTTTTAAATGTAAATGTGTAACATTTGGTAATACTTATTTCCCTTATATTCTTTCTCAATCATGAATAAAACTCTTCTCAGCACTCATCTTTGCTTTCTCAGAAAAATTAATTTAAGACTATGGTTCGTTACAAAAGATTTTCAACAATAAATCAATAAAACTCTTGAACTTTTCTCTTAAACTCACTTTAATTTTGAATGTGCATTAAGACATATGATTAGAACATGTAGAAATTCTCAAAGGTAAATGGATTCTATAGGAGCTAATATAGAGAAGGAAAACGTAGCTACGACTTAAAGGAACACAACTGAATGAACCACGGAAGGGATCAGCAAGGCGACCCCTGGCGCACTAGTGGCGCGCACAAAAATTCAGCCCCAAGTTTGGGGCGCACTACTGGTGAAGGGAGCAAGGCCACAAACTTCTGGGCCTCAGTCCTGACGCCTTCGTGGCACGCCGCTCCATACCCTTGCTCAGCAACCCGATGAATTTTAAAGCTAAAATTAGGACCCAACCAAGTTTAGAATTGGGAAATTTCTCCTAAATTCTTATTGATTGTCAAAACCAACACGAATACATAAGAACTTTCATACAATTCCTTTAGAAACATAACTTTACCAAAGCTTCACAAAACAAAAGAATTAAAACCTCCATTGTTAAAGAATTGTACCCAATATCAAGTACTATGAATGGATCATTTAGATATAATGATTGCTTGACTAAATTGAGATGTATGGCATGAGGACGAACAAGTCCAACACTGTGAGAAGCCTTACGTACGTGGAAAGAACAAAGGTTCTTGGCGAAAGTCAACGGAATCTTGAAGAGCACTCAAAACCTAGCTTTTTCTCCTCTTGGAACCTTTCTCTAATTTCTCTAATTGTTAAAGATCGTGAAAATATGGTTTTGTAAGTTTCTATGGCCCACATAATTACTTTATTTTTGGTTTAATATAATTAAATAAGTTAAATCCTAAACCTGCATGGGGAAGTTACCTAGTGGGATTAAAACTACCCCTATTATCCACAACTCACGTTGATGGAACGTAAGAAATAACTGCTCTATTCTCCATATTATAAAAGGGGTCCTCTCTCTGCCAAAGCATAGAGTAAGTTCCATCAAACTATTCTGAAACGTAAGGTAAAGAGAGAGAAACAAAACTTAGTTCTTGGTTTAAGAACAAAAGAAAATAAAGTGCTTCCGCTAATATTGGTCAAGAAGAAAACAATGGATAATTCAGGTATGTTTCTTGACTGGCTTATTGTTATAGAATTGTATGTGAAAGCATTAAGTTCTATGATTCTAAAATTTTAATAGATTTACATGTGGTATCCGAGCCAGGTTTAAGAACTAGTGATTTTCCGTTAAAATTATGTTTTCTTCTGATTTTGTGAAACCTAATGATGTAATTAAGGATTTATAATCTGATATTAAATCTATTTGCGGGATTTGATAAATTACTCGCTAAATATTTTGTTAAGGAAAATAAAAGGAACAATTCCCGAATAATGAAAGAAGCAGAAGACAAGCCGTACATTAATTGAAATATATTCTGTTCTCTATTCTTTATGAATTGATTGTCCTTATGTATATTATTAAAATAATAGAAGTAATGATCTCAAAATTGAAGTTGCTTTAGAAGGTATGCAATGTTCTTTTTGCCTTTATTCACTTGAGATTGTTCTTGACAAATTTTGAGAAAATTGGTGAAGTTATCGTGTACTGTTTTAATGTCTCTCAGTGATGGCTATTAATTTTATTTGATTCAATGATGAATAATAAAAAAAATAAAAAATGAATTTCTATTACTGGATTTCAATAATTGGTGTATTACACTTACTGGAGTTTTCATGAACCATATTTGGTTTAGTGCTTATGACCTCCATTATATAGTTAACAAAACAATTTCATGATTATATGGAATTATGTATGTGGGATTTTTTAATCACCAAAGTGGTAAAATCTTTATGAATTTAATTCCAAAATAATGATTTAACATAAATTCAATTACCCAGTAATTTTGATGCTTATAACCGATATAACACTTATGGGTAAATTGGAGTTTTTGGTTATAAGACATTTATGAATCACCCAAAGGTTGATTGTTTGTTCTTATAACTATTTAACATTAAGGAGATAGTTTAGATGTATCCTTAGTTTATTTATTTATCCAAAGATTATACATATTATTATGAATACATTATTTTGATTTTAAATTCATTTTTAAGCATCAGTATGTATAAAGTTGTATTTTGATGTTTTACCCAAAGGAGGACAACAGTATACAGTTAAGAATACATAAACCATTTCTGAATCTAATAGTATGTTTAAACTCATAACTCTAAGTATTAACAAATGAGCATATTTTATTTGCAGCATTTGCTATTCATTCGTACTCTGCCTCTCTTACGACATTTAATGGTCTTAACTTCTCAGACTGGTGCGAACAAATCAAATTCCATCTAGGAGTTTTAGGTCTTGATGTTGCACTTTACACTGAGAAGCCAACTGCTATTACTGAAACTAGCAGTGTTGAAGAAAGGTCCTATTATAAGCACTGGGATCGGTCTAACAAATTAGGCCTAATGTTCATGCGAATGAATATTGCGGGCAATATTAAGAATAATCTTCCCAAAACTGAGAATGCAAAAGAATTTCTGAAATTTGTGGAAGAATCCTCTCAAACTGCTGATAACTCTCTTGCTGGGACACTAATGGGTACTTTGACCAGTATGAAGTTTGATGGTTTACGTACCATGCATGAGCATGTCATTGAAATGACAAACATAGCAGCAAGACTTAAGTCTTTGGGAATGGAAGTGGAACAAAATTTTCTTGTACAATTCATCATCAACTCATTACCGTCTGAGTATGGCCCTTTCCAAATGAACTACAACACCATGAAATACAAATGGAACGTGCATGAATTGCACAGAATGTTGGTTCAAGAGGAAATAAGGCTCAAGAATCAAGGACCCACTCCATCAACTTTGTAAGTCATCAAGGAGTTGGAAAGAAAGGAAAGAAACATGTTAAGGGAAAACAGAGGCAACACAATGTTAATGAGTCCTCATCTCAAGCACGTAAGAAGGAATATAAGAATGATAAGTGTCATTTCTATGGAAAATTTGGACACTTTCAGAAAGATTGCCTGAAACGTAAGGCATGGTTTGAGAAGAAAGGTAAGCCTTGTGCTTTTACATATCTCGAATCAAATTTAACTGAAGTTCCTTATAATACTTGGTGTATTGACTCTAGTTGTAATGTTCATGTTTCTAATATGATGCAAGGATTCCTTACAACCCAGACCATAAACAAGAATGAAAAATATGTGTATATGGGGAATAGAGTAAAGGTTCCAGTTGAAGCTGTCGGGACTTATCGTTTGATTATCGATACTGGGCGTCATTTAGATTTACTTGAAACTTGTTATGTACCTTCTCTTTCGAGAAATTTAGTTTATTTATCTAAGTTAGATACGACTAGATACTCTTTTAATTTCAGTAATGTATGTTTTAGTTTGTTTAAGCATAATTATCTTATTGGTACTGGTACTCTTTGTGATAACTTATATAAACTGAATCTTGATAATCTGTTTGCTGAAACACTCTTAACTCTACATCATAATGTTGGAACGAAACAAAGTTTGGTGAATGAATGATCTGCTTACTTGTGGCATAAACGTTTAGGTCACATATCTAAAGAAAGGCTGGAAAGATTAGTTAAGAATGAAATTCTTCCAGATTTGGATTTTACTGACCTTAACATTTGTGTAGATTGTATTAAAGGAAAACAAACAAGGCACACAAAGAAAGGAGCCACAAGAAGCTCTCAGCTTCTTGAAATTATACACACTGATATATGTGGTCCTTTTGATATAACGTATTTCAATAAGGAAAAATATTTCATCACCTTTATTGATGATTTTCACGTTATGGATATGTCTATTTGTTGCATGAAAAATCTCAAGCAATTAATGCCTTAGAGGTATTTATTACTGACGTTGAAAGACAACTAGATAAAAAGGTGAAAACAATCAGGTCTGATAGAGGTAGTGAATATTATGGAAGATATGATGAAATTGGACAACACCCAAGTCCATTTGCTAAATTTCTCGAAAAACATGGCATATGCTCAATACACAATGCGTGGCACACCACAACAAAATGATGTGGCAGAAAGGCGTAATCGTACATTAATGGATATGGTTAGGAGTATGTTAAGTAATTTATCTTTACCTTCTTCATTGTGGATGTATGCTTTAAGAACTGTTGATTGCTTGCTTAACACGGTTCCTAGTAAAACAGTTCCAAAGACACCTTTTGAATTGTGGACCGGTAGGAAACCTAGTTTGAGGCACCTACATGTTTGTGGTTCCCTGGCAGAAGTTAGAGTTTATAACCCACAAGAAAAGAAACTAGATTCAAGAACAATCAGTGGTTTCTTCATTGGTTATCCAGAAAAATCAAAGGGGTATAGATTTTACTGTCCTAATCATAACACGAGAATAATTAAAATTGGAAATGCTAGGTTCATTGATAATGGTGAAGTTAGTGGGAGTAAAGATCCACATAACATGAAAATTAAAGAACTTAGGGTGCAAATTTCTCTACCCTGCACTTCCTTTAAATTTGTTGTTCTTGAAGCTGTTGTACAACAAAGTAATCAACAAGAACAACAAATTAATGCTCCTACTAATCACGATGAAGCCATAACTGATGAACCTGCAGTAGATGAACCACAAGAAATAGTATCAAGAAGATCTCAAAGATAAAGAAGACCTGATATTTCTGATGATTATTTGGTATATCTACATAAGTCAGAAACTGTCTTGGGAATCGATAATGACCCAGTTTCATTTTCACAAGCTATTGAAAGTTACAATTCTGATAAGCGGATAGATGCTATGAAAGATGAGTTAAAATCTATGGAACAAAATGAAGTTTGGAACTTTGTTGAATTACCTGAAGGTTGCAAAAAAGTTAGGTGTAAATGGGTCTTTAAGACTAAACATGACTCAACTGGCAACATCAAACGTCACAAGGCCAGACTTCTTGCCAAAGGTTTCACTCAAAAGGATGGCATTGACTATAAAGAGACATTTTCAACTGTTTCTAGAAAAGATTCACTTAGAATTATAATGGCCTTGGTAGTTCATTATGACTTAGAGCAACATCAAATGGATGTGAAAACAACCTTTCTAAATGGAAATTTGGAGGAAGAAGTTTACATGAATCAACCTGAGGGGTTCTCTATTAAAGGAAATGAACACATGGTGTGTAAACTTAAGAAGTCAATATACAGACTTAAACAAGCTTCACGATAATGGTATCTTAAGTTTAACGAAACTATTGTTACTTTTGGATTTAAGGAAAACACTGTTGATCGGTGTATATATCTTAAGGTCAATGGGAGTAAGTTTATTATGTTAGTCCTGTATGTTGATGACATCCTGCTTGCTACTAATGATCTTTGTTTGTTGCACGATACCAAGAAATATATCTCTAACAACTTTGAAATGAAACATATGTGAGAGGCATTCTATGTGATTGGGATAGAAATATTTCGGGATAGATCACAAGGATTGTTGGGGTTGTCTCAGAAAGCCTATATTAATAAAATATTAGAGAGATATAGAATGGAAAAATGCTCATCAAGTCCCCTTCCAATTCAGAAAGGAGATAAGTTTAGTCTAAATCAATGTCCAAAGAATGACTTGGAACGTAAACAAATGAAAAACATTCCTTATGCATCAATAGTTGGGAGCCTAATGTATTCCCAGACATGTACAAGACCAGACATCAGTTTTTCTGTTGGGATGCTGAGCCAATATCAAAGTAATCCTGGAATGGATCACTGGAAGGCTGAAAATAAGGTGTTGCGATACTTACAAGGAACTAAAGATCATATGCTTACTTATAGAAGATCTAATCATCTTGATATGGTTGGATATTCAGATTCAGATTATGCTAGTTGTGTGAATACAAGAAAATCCACATTTGGATATTTGTTTCTATTAGCTGGAGGAGCAATATCATGGAAGAGTGCGAAGCAGTCTGTTATAGTTGCATCCACTATCGAAGCTGAGTTTGTGGCATGCTTTGAGGCCACAGTCCAGGCTAATTGGCTGCAGAACTTTATTTCAGGACTGGGATTAGTCGACAATATAACCAGACCGCTGAAAATTTATTTTGACAATACCGCCGCAATTTTCTTCTCTAAAAATGACAAGTATTCGAAGGGTGCTAAACATATGGAATTGAAATACTTTTCGATTAAAGAAGAAGTCCAGAAACATAAAGTGTCAATTGAACATATTAGCACCAAGCTTATGATTGCTAACCCTTTGACGAAAGGATTACCACCCAAAACATTTGTTGAACATGTTGAAAGGATGGGTCTTATTGATATCAATGAATGACTTTATGTAAAGACTTTATTATGTTTATTTAATTGACACTTTGACCTCAAATTATGTTTCTGTTGTTACCTGTTTTCTCTTGTATACATAATATTGTGAATGATGATGACATGTTCCGACTTAGATAAAATATTCTAAGTATTATCTTTGGACCCATTATGTATTTGAAAGGTTATGTTAGGTAATAGACTAATATAGTAGTACATGGAAGGAATTATAACAAGTAAAGTGATGTACAACCGCCATGACTCATATTAGTTGATTTATTTAACAATGACAAATGATGTTGGATTTAACATTAATTGTGCACATGATTGACTTACATATTAAACCACTAGATTAATAATTGTGTGAGCCAAGTGGGAGAATGTAAGTTTATATGGCCCACATAATTAATTTATTTTTGGTTTGATATAATTAAATAAGTTAAATCCTAAACCTGTATGGGGAAGTTACCTAGTGGGATTAAAACTACTCATATTATCCACAACTAACGTTGATGGTATCAGCGCATAAGTTGCTTTGTACAACTGTTAGATAGAATTAGTTAATTATTGTTTTATTACTCATTAGTTACTGTTGAGTTTTACTATTAGTTTATTGCTGCTCTTCTATTTTGACTAGGTCTCTAATAGTGTTTAGGCTTAGGATTATCTCCCCATTTTGTGGAGTTAGCTTAGAAAATAATTAGACCATCGTGCATATTTATTTCCATTCCAGCAATAAGAATGAAAGGTTCCTCTGCAGCTTATCTTGTTTTTTTATGGTATCAAGAGACACAATAAACTTTAACGAGTAAGATTCTATATCTTTTTTTCTCTCCCACCCTCCATAAATGGGCGACACTTCTCAAGTTGTCACCACAGATACAAACATCAGAGTGACAATCGTTCAATTTAATCCGGCTCCTAATTACCTATCAAATTACTTGGCAGCCAAAACTTTTCAATGTGGAAGGCGCAATTCTCGATGCTTATGCATGGTCATGATCTATATGGCCATCTCGATGGGTCCGCTCCCTCCCCTTCTCACACGATCACAACTGGCACAGTCCCTAGTGCCAATCCTGCATTTTCTCTTTGGTTTCGCCAAGACCAACTTATTAAAAACGGCCTTATGACATCTGTTGATCCAACAATTGCCACCACTATTGCAACTGCTAATACAACAAAAGCTTCCTGGGATGCATTGCACACAGCCTATCCGAATAAGTCCCAAACTCGCATTTTTAGTTGGCGTGATCGCCTTACGCGCCTGACGAAAGACTCCCAACCAGTCTCCGAATATTTGCAACATATTCGCTCTATTTCTGACGAACTCTCTACAGTTGGTGCCCCAACTACCAACTCAGAACTTATTGTTAAGATCCTGAGTGGTTTGGGTCCAGAGTTTCGTTAGATCTCTGCTGCGATTCGTGCTCATGAGTCCACTATTTCTTATGAAGAAGTCTACGAAAAGCTATAGGATCATGAGCTTTTCCTTCACCATGAAAAGTCCAAGCACGCTCATAACCAAAATATTGTTGCTGTTGCTACATCTAACAGGTCTGGTCATTCCAATTCTCGGAACACTTGT